TAATTTTAAAAAGAACAGATTTTTGAAATATATTTTTTAATATATTTTTTATATATTTTTTATATATTTTTATATATATTTAATACCATATTTTTCGCGTAGTTTTTTCATTCACGAAAATTATTGCGTGATTAAACAAAGTTATATTTTTACCTTTTACATGAAGTAAACAAATTAGGTTCCACAAATATACCAACTTATCTATTTCCCAACCACTCGTTTAACGGTCGAAGAAACAAATAAGAATTTCGAACATTTACGTTTGCTTGTGAAAAGAGAAAATAATTAACATATATAAATTTTTTTCATATATAAATTTTTTATATAAATAATTTTATATAGTTATGATATATATAAACTTTTTCCATCATCTTTGAGAGAGTCTATCACATTTTTTTAAATTTTCTTTTAAATCGGAAATGAAAAATTAATATTCAAATCTATAAATTTAATTCGACTTTTGATGTCTCGGTTAATCTTTATTTATCTAGTTTGGATAATTGCCAATTATATAAATCTACTATCGAGAAAATGAAAAAATGATAAGCAATATATCTATTTTGAAAATAATATATATAAATAATAAATAATTTTTATAAATTACTCACCACATATCTCTCTGGCTGCTTCAGGCTCTGTCACTGCTCTCCGGCTGTCCAATATTTTTCCAGATGTCCTTCTCCTTTCTTTTTCATTCTTTGCTGTTTCCTCGTAGCACTGATATTCATTCGCGAACAAACAATTAATTATATTTAACCATGTATAGAAACGATTGCGAGACACTTTGCATAGCACTCTCGATCGCGGAATAATTACGAGAAGCACTTTAATATATCGCATAAGAGATAGAGAAGTACGATTCGCTTGACGTTTTTATGAGATCAAATTAAATACTAATTCATTACAAATATTGTTTTCATTATTAAAATATACAACGTGTCCCACCTAGAAATGGCCACCCCCTTTTATCTTTTAAACTAAAAGAGATAGACCATAATAAATATATATGAAATTAAATGACTTGAACTGAACTTTATTGTGAGTATAGTGATTGATTACAAAATTTATCTGTATTGAAAAATGGAAAGATATGCATAATTTTTTTATAATAATATAGAATAATATTTCGATATAATAAAAGTTGTAGCGCTGTTTGAAATGAATATATATGATGTATGATTTAATGTAAATATTTTACATATTATACGAGATTTTCTCACTTGAAATATCGCGGGCGACGTCCACCTTTTCATTTTCGGCCGTGCGATATAGCTAACAATATATTTCCGGCAGGGCCGGAATGAAATAGTAGACGTCGCCCGCGATATTTCAAGCCGAAAAATCTCATATAATATGTAAAATATTTACATTAAATCATACATCGTTATATTCGTTTCAAACAGCGCTACAACTTTTATTATATCAAAATATCTATATTATTATAAAAAAATTATGCATATCTCTCCGTTTTTCAATACAGATAAATTTTGTAATCAATCACTATACTCAGAATAAAGTTCAGTTCAAGTCATTTAATTTCATATTTATTTGTTATGGTGTATCTCTTTTAATTTAAAAGATAAAAGGGGATGGCCACTTCTAGGTGAGACACGCTGTATATGCAGTACCTGTATATTAATACGAATTATAGAATCAAAAGTTTAATATAATTGAAAGTTATGATAAATAATCATTTAATTAATAATTAATTTAAGAATATACGACGTATTTCGCACTACGATTTTTACTGCTCGAGTGTCGCCGTGTGAATGATACCAAGACCGTATGTCTAGCGCGCTATTGTTTACATCGTCAAGGCCGAACACCGTGTTATTGTTCGTTCGTCATATCGAAATATATTGTATTATATTATATTTTATAATATAATATAATATAATATAAATATGTTAAAGTACGTAAAATATTTCGATGACAAATAGGCAATAATACCGACCTTGGTGTAAACAATACATATTTATATTATATTATATCATATTATATTTTACATATTTTAATACAGCAAATAATTTTTCGATATTGATCGCGATCGCGTCTAGAAAAGGATTAAGATATGTAATATTAATCTATAATATTTGCGAGGATTTAACGGAGCGTCTTGTATCACTACTTTACTCTTTGAGCGTCGTCGCGCGAATAATAATAGAGCCGAATAAATTAGTCTGAAAGACCGTGTTATTATTATTTTTTTACAGAAACATTTTTCAAGACTATGGCATATAAACATATAAGAATATACGACATATTTTGCACTACGATCTTTATTGCTCGAGTGTCGCCTTGTGAATGATATCAAGACCGTATGGCTAGCGCGCTATTGTTTACATCGTCAAGGCACCGTGTTATTGTTCGTTCGTTATATCGAAATATATTGTATTATATTAAATTATATTTTATATTACAATATAATATAATATAAATATGTTAAAATACGTAAAATATTTCGATGACGAACAGACAATAATACCTTGCGTAAACAATACATATTCATATTATATCATATTATATTATATTATATTTTACATATTTTAATACAGCAAATAATTTTTCGATATTGATTGCGATCGCGTCTAGAAAAGATTAAGATATGTAATATTAATCTATAATATTTGCGAATTTATTTGCGATTAATACACTATTTTATATAAATATCGTGATTGAAAAAATACATATTGAAAATACATACATCTCGCGTATGATTAGTTAAATAAAAGAAAATGAATTTTAAGACTTTACAATTTTAAATATAATTAACATATAATAAAAAAAATCGCGTTGTTTGTCACGTTTAATAAAGAATAACAGAATAGAGAATAACGGAACGAATGATTTTATCAAAATCCCTCTGTAATAATTTAACTATCTAACTATATCTCTAACTATCGATATATTAGTAGAGTTTAATAAGATTTAAACATTATATATAATTTAAACAGTATATATATAATTTAAACAGTCGCGATTTTAATCATTAATGAAATTATCGTCTTTTTAAATAGTAGAAAAAAATATGTGCACTACTAGCGCAGACTATAAAAGAGACAATATTCAAAGACGTGAAAAGATACACAAAGTTTCGATGTAAGTAAGTGATTAAGTTAGATAAATCGTGATTTAAAATTCGCAAGAAAACGCGACGAATCAATAAATTGATAATACACGGAATATTCGATATGTATAATTTTTATAATATAATAATTGCAAAATCCTCAATAGATACGCGCGTAATATAATTATACTGTCACATATAAGTGCGAAGATATATTTCGACAGACATTCGAGGTCTGTAATATTTGCGAATATAAAATTTGCTATCCAATTTATTTGCGATTAACGTGCAATTTTATATGAACGCCGCGATTCAAATAAGATACATGTTTTATCTCGCGTATGATTAGCTAAATAAGATAAAATGGAACATTTTTATAATATGATAATCAAAATCATCAAGATGCGCGCGCGATATATTATTATCGCTTAAATTATCACTCAATTTGTAAATAATCGCGATTAAAACAATCATTAATAAAATTATCGGTCGTCTTTTAAATAGTAGAAAAAATATTCGCATTACTTGCGCGGACTATTAAAAACAATATTCAAAGACGTGGAAAGATAAACACTTCGATGTATAAGTCAGCGATTAAATTATAAGATAAATCACGATTTAAAATTCCCAAGAAAATGCGACAAATAAATAAATCGATAATATTCGGAATATCCGATTGTGCGATATCTATTTTAATTTTTATAATATAATAATCGAAGCGCCATCGATAGATATGCGCGCCAAATAATTATTATCACACAGAGATATACACACAGAGAGAAGACTGAGAGGTGTCATGACCCGCTGTTAAATGATCCCTGAAAGCGATATGCTTTCGATGAACATTAAAAACGTGGACATGAACTACAAAACCAATGTCCACGAATGTTCTTATATAACTTCTTATGTAAGTTCTTATATATTCACATATATGTCCTCTTTTTGATGTCTCCAAAGAGCGTATTATTTTTAAAGATTACCTAAAAGCGGGCCATGATACCTCTCAGTCTTCTCTTTGATAATATAAATAATATAAATATAATAATATAAATAAAAATATAAATACGCGGAATCGCTTATTAACAATTTTATGAGTTTCATTTGTTTACGTTTTATTATCGCTATCTACAATTATTTATTTTATTTATTCAATAATTTATTTCATTTACTTATTTATTTTTCTTACGTGATGGGCACTTTTTTTAATAATTATCAGCGGTTATTGAAATTTTATTTTTGCGTTTGAAAGTTTAATATTATGAATACATATCCATAGTTAAAGGATTAAGAAATGACTCACACATATGGCATATGACACATTATATAAATAATTTATGTAAATTACTTATTATATACATATGTGCGTGCGTGCGTGTCGTGCGTGTGTGTACGTGTGTGTGGATATGTGTGTAGGGAGAAAGAGAGAGAGAAACTTAAAATTAAAATTGATGAAAAAAATTAAAATTATTATTAATTGAAGAAAAATATAAAAATTAAAAATTTATTTATATTCATATACATATATAAGCTTGCTATTCAGCACTGGTGCTACCGGCATTTCGTGCACATAGTACAGAACAAAACCAGAAATTGTGCACATTATATATTATCCTCTGAGAACATTCATTGACTTTATTCCACGTTTTTAATGTCTACAGAGGGAGCATCGTTTTCAGGAATCATCTAAAAGCAGGCCACGCTTCTCACAATCAGTCTTCTCTCTGTTCTAAGGACATCCTCCTATTGGATATTACACTTTTAAGGCATAAATTCATGAGACGTTCGACTCATTTTCAGCGTCAAGACATCACGTGGCCAAAAAAATGACAAATTGCTAGCTTTATTTTTAGTCACGTGGTCTCTTAACGTTGAAAACGAGCGTCAACATGAAAAGGCGTCTTTATTTTTCATTTTCATGTCAACAAAAGTGTAACCTGGCGATAGTCATCGTTGTGTATGTACGTATCTTTCCCACCTCCAACTTTTGATACCGAGCCGCGACGCTTGTGAAACGGGTTTGGTTTCGACGCGGCAACTGTGATAGCTTCCTCGACGAGGGGGAAGATTTGTACGACTAAACCGAGAGATTGTTTGGTAGTAGAATATGCTAATACTGTAAATGTCAAACACGATGAGCTTCTCCAGCGATGAGGTCAATTTTTTGGTCTACCGATACTTGCAAGAATCCGGTATGATTGTGGACTTGAATCATAACCTTGTAATTTACGAATTCGATGAATACAGTTTTCTCTTTCTCGTACAGCAAGATAATTTTGAAGCGACCGGGATTTTTTCGTTATAAGAAAAATTTTTCTTAATTTTTATGCACATGTAGATAATTAGTCTTTCATTTTTTTGAGCGAGTCAGCTTTATCAAAAGCTTACTCTCTTATTCATGAAAAGTTTTTGTCTTGTATTTATTCTCATCTCAGTCTTACATTCTTTCAATAGTTAGTAAGATTTTACATTTCTGAACAAATTTGATTAGAAGAAAAAACGACTATATCTAATAAAATTAAATTTGCAAGCTTTATTTAATATGATTTAATATGATTTTTCATATTTGAAATAAGTCTCATGATAGACTCGCTTTAGCATAATGAATTTGTGTTTTCTCACTTCAATTTTATGTTTTTTAATCCTTCCTCTTGCAGGCTTCCAACATTCTGCATATACGTTTGGTATAGAGTCACATATATCGCAAAGCAATATTAATGGAGCTTTAGTACCACCAGCAGCTCTCTTATCCATACTTCAAAAAGGACTACAATATACAGAAGCAGAAATATCTATAGGTGAAGATGGTACTGAGCAGAGAATGGTGGAATCGTTATCTCTTATCGATGCTGTTATGCCCGATGTTGTTGCGACTCGACAGAATCAAATCAATCAACAAAAACAACAGGTGAAAGTTGAGACTCAAGATACAAATGGAGAAGAAGGTAATCTATTTGTTATATATTTTATAATAATCAGAATATATAATGCAGATTACATATAGTACTAAGCTAAAAATATAAAAATTGAGTTAATTATTGAAAAGATATTATAAAAATAGAATATGAATAAATAGAATATAATGCACACATTGCCTAAAAGCCTGATACACCCTGGTTTGAGAAAATGATAAATTTTTCAGACCTCCTTATAACTCAGGCAGATGAAAATAGGACGGCCATGAATTACGGTCATTTTGTGAGTTGTAATACATATCACTTTTGTCGGATGTGATGCTGAAAAGTATATTTCTTTATAAAGAAATGTATTTTTAATGCTAGAATTCAAGCAAAAGTGATATAATATAACTCAGTATCAATCTGTCCGTCAATTAGTGGCAAACAGCTTTTTAAATTGATTAATGAACACATTGAAATACATTAATGAATAAATTGAAGAGAAATAATATCAAAACAATAACTATAACAATTAAAAATAAATAATAATTATAGCTTGTGATCCATTAATAGCAATTGTCTCTTTATTATTATTTGTATTCTTGAAAAGAAATTAATTTCTCTCTTTTTTTTTTGTGAATACATTGGATAATAAGTGCTTCTTACATTTAGTTATATCATGTTAAGATAGTTTTATGTAAAATATTATAATTGAAAAAATGTTTACAGTTTAATATCATATAAAAACAAATACTCTCTTTCCCTAGTTGTCCCATCTACTGAAGGTGCAAGTAATAATGATCGAGGTGGCGATAGAGGAACGGAAATGGAAGTGGATGAACAAACGACTGGGGCGACGACAGGCTCCAATGCAAGTGCCGTTGAAATTCCTGCTAGTAAGGCCACAAAATTACGCGGCCATGAATCCGAAGTGTTTATTTGTGCTTGGAATCCCACTACTGATCTTTTGGCTTCTGGTTCGGGTGACAGTACTGCGCGCATCTGGGACATGTCGGATAATTCGCTAGCACCCAATCAATTGGTTTTACGTCACTGTATTCAAAAAGGAGGCACGGAAGTGCCGAGTAATAAAGACGTTACATCGTTAGATTGGAAGGTACGATCACAAATATATAGTTTTACTTATTTCTTATTAAATGCGATAATGCATGCATTTTAAATTTTTGCAGTGCGATGGCACATTACTCGCGACAGGAAGTTACGATGGATACGCGCGTATTTGGACGACCGATGGACGATTGGCATCCACATTGGGTCAGCATAAAGGTCCGATCTTCGCATTGAAATGGAACAAACGTGGCAATTATATTTTGAGTGCCGGTGTCGATAAAACGACTATCATTTGGGACGCTGAAAGCGGACAGTGTACGCAACAGTTTAGTTTTCATTGTGCACCTGCCTTGGACGTTGATTGGCAGACGAACACATCATTTGCCAGTTGTTCCACAGATCAGTGCATACATGTGTGTAAACTCAATGTGGATAAGCCTATCAAGAGCTTCCAAGGACATACAGTGCGTATACATATATATCGAAGAAAATTTTCGTTTGCTTTAATCAAGTGCAAGATATGTTATTCTCTTCATTTTCTCTCTTCATTTCCTCTTTTTCTTTGTTTTGCAGAACGAAGTCAATGCAATAAAGTGGGATCCACAAGGAAATTTATTGGCTAGTTGTTCGGACGATATGAGTTTAAAAATATGGTCTATGAAGCAAGATACGTGGGTACATGATTTACAGGCACATAGTAAGGAAATTTATACTATCAAATGGTCTCCGACTGGTCCAGGCACACACAATCCGAATATGAATTTGACCTTGGCTAGCGCATCTTTCGATTCCACCGTTAGATTGTGGGATGTGGAGAGAGGTGTATGTATACATACGCTTACTAAACACACTGAACCAGTCTATAGTGTAGCATTTAGTCCAGATGGGAAGTTTCTCGCTAGCGGTAGCTTCGATAAATGTGTTCATATATGGTCAACTCAAGTGAGTAGCTTGCGATTTTTTATCAATTTGCCACCAATTGGAAGTAGAATTGTTATATTGATATATATTTTTGTCATTTGAACAGAGCGGTCAATTGGTGCACAGTTACAAGGGTACAGGCGGTATTTTCGAAGTTTGCTGGAATAGTCGCGGCGATAAAGTCGGTGCATCGGCATCCGATGGCAGTGTATTTGTTCTTGATCTTCGTAAATTATAATTATGGTATTATAAAAGGAATATTTTTCATCGATTTCGTTAGAATTTGAGATTATATCAGCCGTTCAACTTTATTCTGTCATTTTTCTATTATATAGGGTAATCCAATATCACAAATGTGCAGTTCTCAGAAATTTTTTATGTAATAATGTTTTGTTAAAGATATAATGACAGAAATTTGTGCTATTGCACAAAATTTTTTGACAAAATCTATGGATGAATTTTGTAGCTTAGACATTTTTTAGTACTTTAGTCTATAATCTATATAATTAAGTAATAATTAAGTTTATTCATTCAAGTATTTAATATAGACAAATGCGATATAATAAAGCATGTATTTCGTGCTTTAATTATATTACAATAAAATTTATGGACTTCAGCTATGATAAAAAATAAGATTTAGACATCGTTTAGTACTTGAGTTATATTAAGTATCAAATTAAGTATTCAAATACTTATATAGATAAACGCGAAATATAATAAAGAATTGGTCTCCAAAATATTCGAGAGAATTTTGGATCACCCTATATAATTTATTTAAATTGCATCTTTAATATGCTCGTTTATGATTTATGTTATGTATTTATATATTACTTCAAGAATTTTATTATTAAACTTTATTATTAAAAAAATTATACAAAATAATAGCCGAGCTCGAGAAGCAATTCAAAAACTTCATAATTAAAAATTATATTATAATAAAATATATATATTATATATATATTATATTTTATTATAATATGATAAATATATATATATATTTTTTATTATAATATGATAAATATTTATATATATATATATATATATATATATTAATTTTATATAATAAAAAAATAATAGGCAAATTCGAGGAGCAAATAATGTATGTGCAATATATTGAATAATTAAATCAAAAAATTAAATAATGCACGAGAATTTCAATAAATCAAAGATAAAATTTTTTTTGTCTATGCAGCACTAAAAGAAAAATAAAATTCTTTTTTGTTTACACAGTTTTATAGTTTATACACCATGATTGATTAAATTTTTGATTTTATGCATGGATTCTTCATTGATAATTATTTGATTTCAATTTTATTTACTTATTCTAAATATTCTCTAAGATATATCTAAATTATTATTCTACATTTACTCCTCGAATGTCTATTAGTTTATTTTCATTGAAGTTTTTTTTGTTATTTTAAAGAATTATAAATAATACATGACATGATGTGTGCATGCGATTTTCAATGTAAAACATTTTTTTAAAGATTATTTTCTTAATATTTCTTTAAAAAAAAATACGTTAAGAGAAATATATGTACATTGATAACGTTTTTAATCGTAACATTCTGTACAGTGTAACAGTTCATCAGACGTAATATTCACAAAGAAAATGGATTACCATCTTCATTCCCTAAAAATGACTGGAATATGTTATTCCAAATGTATAACTGTGTAATAATATTATGTAAACATCTCGATAATGAATAAAAAATGAACTTTTTTAAGAAAAATTGTAAGATAAGATAATTATATATGATCGAAAATGATAATATTGTTATATATATACAGCGTGTGTCAAAAGTTCCGGGACGGCTGGATAATTTGAAAAATACGCATCACAGAGGAAAATGACCTAGACAAAAGTTGTAGGATTTTTCCCGGGCAATCCGACGGTGACCTTAGATTTGATCTTGGATAGTCATTTGAAGGTCACATAAAGATTACCTTCAATTTCTTAAATGGAACCCCCTATTTTTCATTGCATATTCTTGTAGCTTATCTCGAGAGCTTTCCAAAACACTATAATTAAGTACCTTTTTATTAAGTACTTTTTGAGTTATAAGGCTTGAAATAATTTCTTAATTTTACATAAACCATAAAATATCTAGTAAACCATTCATTTTTCGATTATCTTACCTTCATACTTTTATGTACAAAATAATGAGAGGAATCAATTGGTGTAAAGAAAACACATAGTTGTTTCTAAGAAAAAATATGTAATTTGCAATTAACAATTCCATATTTTTTCTTAAAAACAACTGTATGTTTTCTTTACACCAATTGATTCCTCTCATTATTTTGTACATAAAAGTATGAAGGTAAGATAATCGAAAAATGAATGGTTTACTAGATATTTTATGGTTTATGTAAAATTAAGAAATTATTTCAAGCCTTATAACTCAAAAAGTACTTAATAAAAAGGTACTTAATTATAGTGTTTTGGAAAGCTCTCGAGATAAGCTACAAGAATATGCAATGAAAAATAGGGGGTTCCATTTAAGAAATTGAAGGTAATCTTTATGTGACCTTCGAATGACTATCCAAGGTCAAATCTAAGGTCACCGTCGGATTGCCCGGGAAAAATCCTACAACTTTTGTCTAGGTCATTTTCCTCTGTGATGCGTATTTTTCAAATTATCCAGCCGTCCCGGAACTTTTGACACACGCTGTATATATGTCCATGTTATATATATATGTCCATTATCCATGATTCTTTTTATAATGTATAGGGACGTATGAAAGGGTATTCACTAGCGTTAAGCAAAATTTATTATTAGTTATGCATATCACACAACTCAATATTTTTATTAACTGTCACTGATTCGAAATTATAATAATAAATTAATAACTGATATTCTAAGAAAATTATATGTTTAATTATTTGATATAAATAAGTAATTATCTATCGCGCTACGAAATCTATGCGCAATATACATATTTCAACATATTTATAAATTATTTCTTGACAAATATATTTTTACATTATATATATTAGTTTTTTTAATGATGAAAAATGTTTTGAAGAAAGAGTATCTCGATGTATTCTAAGTTCTACATATGATATAACATTGAGAGATGGATTGAAAGAGACTTGATAACATTACATTTTTTTGAATATTCTAAGATCGCATTTTAATGAAACAGATTGAAACAATTATAAATTCTTTTTTTTTATATTTTTGTGTGGCACAATCGTATCGTGTCGAATATTAAATAATTATAATAATAATGCATATACACATTTTATTTGCTATATTTTCCGCAACACTTTCAATCCCGTGCATTACTTTAGACACTTTGTTCGATAATCGCTGCTTTTGTACTCTTGTTACGATAAATAACAACTGAATAAATATACAAGAAGAAACAATCGTACAGTTTTCAGTAATTAAAAAAAACAATCATACAATTATCAATAATTAAAATTAAATTAAATTAAGAAAGCAAAAATAAGATACATACTCGTATAAAACTGTTTCTAAATTAGTATGCAGAATACATTTGTTGTACTTTATTGATCTTATCATGTATTATAATAGTCTTCTCTCAACATTAAATAGTATATCTGATTTCTGGATCCTTTTATAAGATTTAGCTAATTCGATTTGTGGACAATTTCTTTGATTAACACACTATGCAGAAAATAGACGTTCAGAGTTGCAAACTGCAGATACATATATGCAGCCGAGTATCTCTTGCATCCAACGATCGACGCTGGTACATATGAGAGGCAATATCGCTCTATCGATATAACAAAGTATTTGTACATTCACATAGAGATTAGCAAAAGTAAAATAATAAGTTTAATCAACTCATGTCGCTCTCTTACATCGCGTTGTCTTCAAGTGCAAGTGCGAATAATAGAGAAATGCTGCGGATACAATTAAATACATACTAACGATAAGAGGAACGGGGGATGTTCTCTGCGAAATAGAAGAGCTTAGACAAGATCACAATGTATAATACTGCTTCGTTACACCTTTCTCCATGTCCGAAGAAGCTAAGATATAGAAAGGAACTAAGTAGCTCTTGGATAAAGTTCTCAGATCTTTGCACGTTTGTTTGAAGAATGTTACGCGCAATGGTCACAAATTTGTCATACATTATTGTACGCATCTTCGAACAATACATTTTTCGCGATTTTTTATTCTTGCCAAGCCAAATGCAGGGTTGTGCCTTAATATATTACGACTAACTCAATAAATAAACGCTAAAATTAATAGAATTACATAGTAGAGAATTATCGAAATTATTATACGCAGAATATTTCGATTTTTCAATCAGGTTTGCTCGCATCTGTTATACACGCTCATTCGTAAAATTTAAATATTTTTTACACTTTGTATCGCCTGTCTCAATTGCCATCATTCGTAATAAGATACTTGTCACGCGAGAAATATGGATAAATAAGAAAAAACAAGGATAAATCGATAAAATAACTTATTATAATGATGATCGATTAAAAGTCGCATATAGCAATAAAGCTAAGATATCGGATCTGGAGTTTTTCTTCGCTGGTCGAGGACGCGGTTACAACAGACGTAGTTCGTTAGCCTGCACCTGAAAGATTAACATTAATATCAATATATGCTCTTGTAATGTTCTAATCTTTCGAATTAATCTTTCTCTATAAAACCAATCATATCGACGATCTGATCTAAGAATTATAAATTGACAAAACAAAGGAGCTTTTTTTAATTATTTTTCAACGCCTCCTGAAATGAATCGAAAACAAGGAATAAATTTGAAGAAAGAGAAATAGGCGATTCGTACTCTAGTCATCTGATCGTCTTGCGATCCGCGAAACAACGGATCTTCCTCTTCGATCCACTCGATTCTGTTAAACTGCAATGGTTGGTTTCGATCGTTCCTCGATTTGTCGGATCTCACGATCTTGCCAGCATCTGATACCGGCACCGATCTCTTGCCAATATTCTCGAGGAAGCGGCGATTTTCTTCAATCTGCCGCTGGTCCCGTTCCTGCTTCCTGCGAGCCAGCTCCAGCATGACTCTGTTTCTCAACACATCCAAGTTGTTGACGATCGACAGGGATCCGATTCTCTTGGTGCGCGTCACGTCCGATCCGAGCTCGTTGCCCAGTATCTCGTTCTACGTGTGACAAATGTAATTACAATCCTTAAAATATTGATACATTAAGCAGAATACAAACACATTTATAATCTATTGTCCATTAAAACAAATAGTCTACTATTAAAATGAATTTTAATTAATCGTGCATAAGAGAGATATAATTTTGTTAATTTATAAATAAATAAGATTTCCTCCGATGTGATTAAAGATTTTTAAATACAGCTATTAATATTTATAATAGTATTAAATATTTGAAATAATAATTCTTTTCATTTTAAATTAAAGCTAATTATATTATATTGTAAATAAACAATTAATTTAATTCAGATTAACAGACTGTGTATTTTATCGAATGTTTTCGCAAAACGATTTTTCTTTAAAACTGGCTCTCTTTCTTTCTTTCTCTTTTTCACTTTTGATCGCACAAAATATTCAATTTACATACAATCTCGTCGTTGCGAGCAATTGCAAATTTTGCGCGATGCATAATGACATCCGAAAATGCGATTCTTCGAGACAAAGCTCGCAAGAGAGCTTTCAACTTACGTTGCATAATGCACTGAATCCGAAGATGCGCAGTTACAGACTTGGTAAAGAGCAAATAATGAATGTTACGTGAAGAATGGGACTCTATCATCATCGTGTCGTAAGTGTATATATATACTTTTACATAATATTGCTTGAAATGCGAATAAAAAATTGCAATTTGCAACTTCTTCAAATTGTTTTTAACAGTACTCGAAAATTTTTCATCTACTCTGTTTTGTCTAATCTCTTTAAATCACTCTTTTGATCAAAGAAAACTACGTGTATATCACATTTGTTCACAAAGAGCTGCTCTTAGACAATTTAATAATTCGATTTTGTGTTCACCACAACAAGAATTTAAGAAACGTAAGAAACGTAAAGGAGATTCGAGATAAAGAATAATATCAACGCGATATCATCATGTACGTAAATATATAATCTTTTATGCTAAAAAACTAATTTTCTTGAAAATCAGTTGCTTCCGGAGAGGAAATATAATAAATTTATTTTTATGCGATGTTGACAAAAGGATACATATTTTATACACGATGCGCATCTTTTCACATTCAATATTAAAATGATAAAGTGCGCTTGGAAGATGCAATAATATAAGTAATATTTCAATTTTTACTCCTTCAGCAAAGTATGTGCAACGAAAGTTACGAGTAAAAGAAGGTACTTTTGATCCTCGAAGCTTTCAAAAGTTATCCGCTCCGAAATAAAGCGAGGAAATCATACAGGATGTCGCAGAAAATAAGAAAGAGCGCAAATCCTACGTAATCCTACATGGCGTGAGGTCTCCCACGTATGTGCATCTTTAAACTAGAGAGAGGGAACATCTCCATTCATGAATCTTTTCCGATTTACTCTTGTTTACGTCATTTTACATCATGCGAATGCGAAATCAAAGCGCTTACTGTGTATCTCCTGCGTATCTTGTAAACGTGTGTGTTATCTATTTGTAGCGCGGATACTGCTAGTCCTGTACATAATTAACAATTCAAAACGTAAAGCGTGCCTATGTAAACTAACCGAACAATCCGATATGTGTCTCATGTCGATATAATAGTCCTTGCATTTGGAATGTTATTGTTGTTTCGCAACAAACGTGATTTCCGCGCGGACATGCTTTAACGCATTAAGGATTTATCAACGGATTATTGATGACATTTCCTCTTATCAGTTCAATTCTTTATCTCAAAATACCACTTGTTTTCTTTTGACTCTTTAAAGAATTCTCTTAAAAAGAATTAAAAATATTGTTTCAATTTTCCTAAAAGATAATTCTTTCAATTCTCTTAATTAAATAATTTTAGAAGATATAATAATACAGAAACAAATTTTGAAAGATAAAGCACAAGAAGTTTAAACGCATGAAATTGTTCCCGATAATTATTGGAGCAAAATGATAGAATTATTCAATACCTCATTCTTTTAAGAATTATTCTTTTTTACTCTGACCTCTGAAAAATCTAAGAGCATTTTTACGCACGCTTTAGACATATCCATCTTCGATTAAAGAGAAAAAACCACGATTTTTACGTCACAATAATGGAAATAAATGTAAGTGGAAATAAATGTCATGTATTATTTAGAAATGTCATGTATTATTTTGCCTGAAAAGAACATACCTCCAGTTCTGGTATCCTTTCATCCATCAACAGGAAAATTTTCGGACGATTATCCGACACATCTCTTCTCTCGTACGATGACAGAGGAGCGGAACTTGTGAGACCGATTATCGTCGTAGACGCCAGAATGCCGAGCAATATCATCGTGCAGGAAGAATGTAAATTAACAACGTTCATCTGAAAGATAAACGAGACATACGATAACCTATGGACAGAATACTTATTGCAGTAAGCCAGATTTTTTGAGTGGAAAATAATTTTATAGATATCGCTTTTTTCCTTATTTTCATAACATTCGTTCATATTAAATTGCATAACAACTTTATATTTGGGCGTATATTTCTTCACGCCGCGATACACTTTTATCTTCAACTTTTGCATCATATTTATGCATGGAGATAGGAGAAGTTCAAAGAAAAAACAATTGCAACAGATCTATAAATTAAGTCTAAATATAAGTGAATAATGATGAAATCAACAACAAATTTATGACGCCAGGTTATCGCGCGTAACTTTTTTTTCTCAAGGCTCTTCCTATCTTCCAAAACCTACACGATCTGAGAGCAAACATCCTTTTATCGGCTTTGTCCTCCGTCATCCATCACAAAATGATTCATGGAGAAGGTGAATTTCAATGCAAAAGAGCACGTGAAAAGAATTAGTTTGCGCGCGAGTTGTTGCCGTGCCAACATCCGATAGATTTAAGCTTTCTATATCCCATAATTCGCGTTAAAGCACGCATCTCTCGACTATGAGAGAGACAGAGAGAGAGAGATAGGGAGAACTTGTTAAATTATTTTAGAAATTTGACAATCGAGCAATAACGTTCTTTGCGAAATGCAGTTTCATAATAATTCGATACTCTGATTTCTTAAAATCTTTTTATTACTTGTAATTACATTATACATATATAAAAAATAATTTTTTATTATATATGTATGTAAAAGAGTTTTTAAAGTTTCAATTTTTATGCATATTTTTCAATTTTTTGCAATCTTTCCATCTCTCTTGTCGAAAAAGATTATTTCAATTTCGTTTCAATTAATTTTTTTTCATCTATACAAATAAGGCCTTTTAGAACTATCAAGTTTGACTTTAATAGTAGATTCTTATATACAAGTTTAAATAAATTTGTTCCAAGAATTCGAAACAATTTTTGAAAATTTATTATTCTTAGTCTACAAAATTCTATAATTATTTCAAATTTTCATCTATAACCATTATTATTATATAAATAAATCCAATAGCAAAAGGATTAATAATATAAATAATAATAATAAATCATCGTCGTCGTCGTGGGCGTCGTTGTTGTCGTCATCGTCCAGGTTCATTAACACCGAAGGTTTAATTTGCCGCTCGTAATTTAAGGTTGCCGTCCTGCTTTTCAATTACCATGTTGCGAGTCGGTCGGCGACTCGATTCCAACAGCTTGATTCCAGCCCTCTCTACCATAATTTTTCCTTTCTAATGTTGCAAAGATACGCGTCATTTTTAATTAACACCCAGGCAGAGATTGGTATCCCAGGGTGGATTAGATATCTTGTCATCAATGTAATTAGCCCTGACGTCCCTTTTTACTTGGACGATTAATAGACAACGCGGACGTATAAAAGAACCAATGGAATCAAATAAACGAAATGTATGGCACATTCTTTACATTTCTGTCACCTTGTTCAAAGTAAACCAAGTTCTCTTTCGAGAAAAAAAATCTTGTCGAGCATTCTTTTTTAAAGACTTGGAGACACACCATAATTTCTCACTTTAAGACGTTAATGCAAACATAAGATATACCATTACGTTGTAGCAACGAAGGTGAAAAAAAAATTGAAAAAATAAGAATTTTATAAAGAACAAACGTATAATTATTCCACGTTATATTACTAGTCTTCCTCTTTCTCGTAAGAAAAACATCATCAAGCATATTGTGACTACTAATGATTGACTGTATTCGTGAAAAAGGCAAATTCTCTTCGTGTTGTGTTTATATTTTAAAGAGAATAAATATTTTCCTCGTGTTATGTCTATATTTTAAAGAGAATAAATATCATCATTTAATCGTAATAATTGTTATTGAAAATTTTAAGGACCGATAATGAAACACACTTGTAATGTAGAACTAAGTGATAATTTAATCAATGTGCTAGCGACGATTGATCGAACCATCAGTCATCGCACGCACGCGAGCGAAATTCCGCATTAATAAATATTGATTGTAATAGTAAAATATTTATCGACTAAATTAAATTTCAATATAAATTTAACAATTATTAATATATATTGTGACACTCTATTAATATATTATTAAGATATTATGCAATATAATGAAGTCAATAATGTTAATTATAAAATTAATTAGAATTATAAAATTAATTAGAAAATAATCAAAAGTAATGACTATTTAATATAAATTATTTATTATTTGTTATTAATTAAAAAATTAATTGAAATTATTTATTATTGATTAATAATTTAATAGAAATTATAAATTTGATTAAGAAATAATAATTATCAATTCACCTTATCACAATTATCTCCCAATCCTTCAATCGTGATCGGTTTCAGTAGAAAAAGCCTTATCAAGTCAGACCAAAAGCCTTGGCAAAGTCTGTATAAAGCAAGATCTTTCGAATTGCCGAATTATTTAGAAAAGCGTCACTACATGATATTTTCCACTTCGTTTTCCGATATGCAAAATAAGGCTCGATGTAAATGCAAAGAAATTAATTTATTCGAACGAACTTAATAATGTTATCGCGATAAATTGATACGCGAATGTAGATTGAATTACCTTCTCGTTTTCTGAATGACGGTGCGTCAACGCGTTAGTTTATGTAAGTGTCCACTAATTGAGTGGCTCGAACGAAATGAATTACGCGTGCAATAGCGTGTCGTTAGGGATTGCCAATTGATGCGCAATCTTTTGGCCACTGATGCAATTCTTTTAGTAGCTTTTATTTATCGCTACTTTCCAACACGTTCGCTTTGAATCTGCGATGAGAGAAATATCCAACAGCCCTGAGCGATAAAAATCTTTGTATATTTTCGAGGAAAATTAAACGAGAATTCCTACAAGTATCTCATTTTTATGATAAATTTTATAGGCAACTAATACCTATGTATAGTTTATAAAACATACGTATAGCTTATTTTTACCCGCTTAAAAAAGATATGAACGAAACGCAATATTTTTGCACGTAAAGTCTAATTTTCATGATTTTTTATTCTTTCCTAGTTCGTTCAACTTCTTTAATTTGGCTACTATGTTTCTCATCATAAACTTACTTCCTACAACCCGCGTACAAAGATTGCGAAAATTTCTCTTCCTCTTTTATTAACTCTTAGTTCGCATCAGCAGGATATATTGGACGTGTGGTTTTGCTCTTATACATTGTGATTCTTAGATAAACAACAAAAACAAATCGATATCTTTTACGGCACATTTGAGAAAAAAATTTTTAACATAAAATTATTTTATAAGAATATTTTGAATTTTATATAAATGACGCAAAGAGAATTGATCTATTCGCATTTTGACGTTTCGAAAGTTCCAAAAAATTTAAATAAACAAATCGATATCTTTTACGGCACATTTGAGAAAAAAATTTTTAACATAAAATTATTTTATAAGAATTTTATATAAATGACGCAATATTTTATTTGAATTTTATATAAATGACGCAAAGAGAATTGATCTATTCGCATTTTGACGTTTCGAGAGTTTCAAAAAATTTATTTAAAGATATATGATTTTTTATAAACTAAAAAATTGACGCATTTCAAAAAATATTGCTACTACGTTAGATTTGCTAATATTTTTTAATTAATCGTTCGGGACATTCTTTATATACATACGTGCAACCGGTTACACCCAGTATCTTTACTAACACGTCTATGTAGACCGACAGTTGGAGTAGATACTAGCATCATCAATCGCAATGCGAATTTCATCATTAGATAAGCTCATCAATTTTGCCTCGTCAGAATTTACACGAGATAAAGATTTGCACGAAGATAAACGTATATATATTCATAGAGAGCGTGAACACCAAATGCATTTGTGTGTGACTCATATTAGATTTATGTCTTTAGAAAAAAATTTACGCAATATCAAACTTTGGAAATTATTGCCTTAATATTTATAGAATTTATTATTAACTAGAATTATTTATCATAAAATTATTAATCAAAATATTTTATTTCATACTGCTAATATTTAGCTGAATATAAATAGCCGCTATAACGTTAATATCGTCCGTTTAATTTAATCTGTTTGACGAAATTTACATCTCTCAAGCTTTCCATAAATATCGTACTAAACGTAGGTATATATCGAACCGCAACTGCTGTCATGCGCTTTTGTATGTAATGTTATCGACGGATTGTCGATAAATACGTTTCGAATAAACAACAGAAACGCACAGACACTATTAAACGTACATAATACAGCTTGTACGAGTCCTAGAAATCTGTACAAATAGTGCAAACGTCCATGCAAAGTCGGCCCGCATTTTGCTTCCATTTGGCTGGCATCGTATTCTGTATTCTCGATTCATTTTGTCAAAAAGTAAATAGCAAGCAAGAAAAAGGTACTCGAAAAAAGCAGCAAAGAAGGACGTCCTTTTTTACTGTGCGAATAAATTTATAATTTATGTATAGCGAGACATTTTCTTGGCAAAAAATACACCGGATAATTTATTATAAAAAAAATTATATATATATATGTGTTCCAATTTTATTTTAAAACCATTTTTTTTTTGAAAACTATTAACTGTAAAACTATTAATTGCGTATTAGTACGTCACATAGTTTGTTTCTCGATTACTCCATCGTTTCGCTGTGCAATGAATTGCAGCAAAACAATGAATTCCGTCCACGCTAGTTTTATACGCAATTGCGACGCAATGTCATATTTCAACTTATGCAATTAACAAACTCGTTTCTTTTTGAGAGATAGAATGTAGATTTAGATAGACGTGTAATTCACATGTTATTTGCTTCAGGTTTTCAATTATTCATTACGAGAAAAACGAATCCAAACATAGTAACAAGTAATTTAAAGTTATATAATAGCAGACAGTTGCAATGCGGAAAATATCCTATATTATATTATATTATTGTCGAACAAATGATTTTTTTTTCGATTTTTCAGAGTATTTTACAAAGGTTCTATATATAAA